GAAACATCGGTAAACTTCTACCAGACTACGTGGCACAACAGCCCAGAAGACAGCCATCTTCTGAAAGAATCTTCATTGTAATTAACAATGAAGGTCATATAGAAATGAAGTATTTTATTATTTGATATGCATTGGTTCTTTTTAAGAACTGTTGTAATGTCTTCGTAACCTGACACTTTTTAAAATTACCATTGGTCTTGTTTGCAACTGTGATCAGTAGAGTAGAGTAGAGTAGAGTTTATTTACATTCCATAGATCCTTCTTAGGACTCAACCAAAGGATGTACAACATGTCATTTCATACAATATACATACACTTCAGAACTTTCAACACAAGTACAAGAACGTATTTCACATATCAATGTACATAAATTTCAGATTCTGCAATACAAGTATGAAAAAATAATTTTACAAATTAATATACATAAACCTCAGAATTTTAAATATAAATACAAAACTTGCTTTACATATACGTATGTGGTATGTACTTAATGGATGTGATGTGACTGGTGTCAGTGGACATATTTTCGTATCACAGTTGCTAGTACTGAAGGTACTAATTTTTTTTTTAAATCTTTTGTACATAACAATTCTTTGTCTTACAAAATCTGAGTATAAAAAAGTTATTCCAAATTCTAGAAACATGAACCGAATTTGCAAACTTGTTAGTCACAAAGACATAATAGAATTCATATGCACTGCTGTACTGACATCTTGTGGGAGCTAGGAATGGATAATAAAGAGTATCAGTGAGAGTAGAGTAGAGTATAGAGTAGAGTAGAGTAGAGTAGAGTTTATTTACATTCCATAGATCCTTCTTAGGACTCAACCAAAGGATGTAGAACATGTCATTTTATACAATATACAATTTTAGTATCAAATTAGGTTCCTTTCCTTAGGTGAATAGTAGGAATTACTCTCTAAGGCTGCAAGAGACGGGTTATGTTATGACATGTCATTTTGAGTTTGTTTGTCATAGAATAAAAAGTCATGGCTGTAAAAAGACGACGATTCATTTCCCTTGTGATGACGTGTGGAGAACGCAACGCACGTGGTGTTATTGCCAAGATGAGTTATGAACAGGACGAAATATTCACGTATTTTGTGTGCATCTTCGGATGTCCGTGGCGTGCAGTGCGTTTCTTGCGGAAACAAGATGACTCGGTGTTTCAATTGCACGTGTTTGGTAACTTATTCCTTGATCAATGTGGCGCCCTAGTTACAGACACTCATACCATTTCATTGGAAGTTAAACTAATTAACGAGTCGAATCTTTCAAAACAATCTATTTGAGGATTCAATTATAAATGATTTCCTGATGCGCGTCAGATATGCGCAGAATTTGAACTTCTAAAGGATCGCTTGGTGACCGTTGTCTCTCGTTCCTGTAACGATTCTATGTAACGGTAACGCTCTGTGCTTTTATTCGAGAGGTACTCGGTTTGTTAAATGAACTAAGTGCAGGTAAAATAGTATTTAAACACCCACTTCACCTGTGAACATCTTTAACCTCTCTACATCAGTGGACAAACGAGTACACTTCCCAGAAATATTTTTACAGATCTCCGCGTTGTTCCCCTGTCGTACTGAGAATTTAAATTCCGTGCAATTTTGTTTCTTATCTGAAATTCTCATCTCATTTACAGAGTACAATAGAAGATGTAAAAAAATCTATAAGGTTGCAACGGGCTGGGCATGTAGCTGGGATGGGAGTAACAAGGAATGCAAGGAGAATATGGGGAAATCTTGAAGGATGATATTTGAGGATAGCGTTCAGATGGAATAATATGGAGTATGGAATACAGGAGTTTGCCTGTACGAATATCCTTCTATACCTTGTCCATTTTCGGATTCGATTCACGAATCTATCGAATTAGTTACGATATACCGCTAAGCTAACCCATATTGTTCTTATTATCCTTTCATTGTTCTTGAAAGTTTTGCGAGAATTTGTCAGACCGTAACGTTAGCAGAATCTCTGACATTAACGCTTCGCCCTGAATGAAATTAGCATTACCACAGCCATTATTAAGGCTGCCGTGTTAAAAAATTGAAAGTCAGTCGGGGGGGACACGCCATTTCTGACCAGTTCAAAATTCCTCGGTATGTTGATCAACATATTGTCAAAAAGTTTTTTGTGAAATCTTCCAAATTGCTTTCGGACGAAAGATTATCACATCAAATTGAGCCAAGAGCAGCTCAGTAATAAACAGTCGTTCATTTGATGTTGTGGATAGTCGAAAGAGGACATGTTTTCTGTACTGTGGGCGGATAGTTGGCGACAGAGCACACAACTACCTTCCTCCCTCCCTTCCACTCAACCGATTGGTGTTCACTCGGGGCGTCATGGAAGATTTCTGTGATTTTCCTTAGCCAATTCAGATTTTTCATTTCCGTCGAATGCATTGTAGCAGTGCGAATTTAAAAACAGAGTGGAGTTTTGCCACTTAAATTAAAAAACCTCTTTTTATTTCTGTGTTGGACTGAACAGGATACTTCTAATTGCTTTAAAATCTTTTCCACGTCGCCATAATTATCATCTCAATAACACCTGCACTTAATGCAGCGTTATTAAATAGTTTCCCGGTTCAAATGTCTATTCGAAGACTGAAACCCGCGGTTACTGTTTCGATTTCCTCATAACGTGTTTACTTTATGTAAGTGATCGCTGGTAGTCATCGTTAAGTCTTCGAGGGTCTTATGGCCCTGGTGCAACTCTTGAGCACGCCTTGCGGAAAATATTTCTCAGGTTTCAGGCTTAAAAATCTGTACTCATCCCCCAGTATTGTCAGGGTGATTAAGTCGAGAAGAATGAGATG